TTTCCGCCCATTAAAATATATATTTTTTTATAAAACCTTAATTGATTTCATTAATAGTAAATAGAAAGACAATAGATATTTAAAAAACGTATAACATTTTTTTTAAAATAGATTTATGATTTTTATATTTATTCCAATAGTTTGACAAATTATATACTAATAATCTTCTTTATATATTATTTGTTATTGTAATGTAAAACACAAAAGAAGAAAGAACAGTTCAAATTTTTTTTCTTTTTCGGTCATAGGTTACTTTATTTGAATAGTAGCTGATATTTATCTTAAAAAATTATAAAATGAGATAAATAATATTTATACGATGAAATAGATTCAATAAATGCAATAATAAGGATCGTAAATTTATATCTACTCCTAATCGTTTTTTTCACAATTGCAATAATTGCGTCGTTTTTATTTCTTATACGTATAAATATCCATTTTATTTAATATATATATCTTACTTTTTGAACAATAATTGAAACTTGAAACATGAATAAATAAAAAAAGAAGTGATTATTTTCCTTTTTTTAGGGGGGGGGGGGGGGGTGGTTTATAATCGCTAAAAAAAAATAATATTGCCAAAAAAATGCCCAAAAAAATAATATTGCCAAAAAAATAATATTGACAAAAAAATAATATTGACAAAAATTAATAATACTCACAATGACTTGTAAAAAAAAAAATTTACGACAGTTTTTAATTAAATTTAAATTCCATAGACCACCTTAAAAAATTTATAAAATTTAAGCCCTTAATATTGTTTTTTTTTATATTTAATAAACTTTTAAAAATTAGTTTAAAAAAAAAATTAAAATAAATAAGTTTAACGCGTTACTTTATTATACACAAGTCATATTTAAATCCCATAAAATTCTTTCTTTTTCATTCTTTCTGCAGAGATGGCACTTTGCATAAGTTTGCCAGTTAAACTAAAAGTTTTCAGTCTAATTCTCTGGCCGATCCGACCGGTTAATATCTTTAATGGATTGTTAAACTCCCGGCAAAAAATTTCTTTTGTAAAAATATATTAACTTCTTTAATCTTCCAAATTTATATTTAAATATTTCTCTAAGGTGTATTAGAAATTTATGTAATGGTTTATCAAACTACGAATTTGATTAAGGGGTCATCTGCCATTGATTTTGCCTTTCTACAATATTTTTTTTAATTACAAGTTAAATTTATACACTATTTTTTATTTTAATTTGTGGGAAAAAAATTTATTGCAAAGGGCATAAAGTATGCATTTTTATAAAAAAGTTAGCTAAAATAAAAATCCCTCATTGTCATCTCCTAATTAAATCTAATTTTCAATGTATCTTAGGAATAAAAGCGAAAACATAATTTTCCATTTCATTTTTTATGGCTCGACCAGCCCGATTGAAAATAAATTTAAGCCCCAACCTTATCAAATTTATTAAATATAAGCCTGGATCTGGACTAAGCCTCTCAAAATTTGTGGTGTGGGTGGATGGGCTGGGTTTTAACGAAGTGACTACCCCTTCCCCCACCTACCTCTTTCATACAGAGTTCTGGTTATATATGCATAATTTAAAAGTCATTATTGACCTATAATATTACCCTTAGTAAAGTTTTATTTTATTTATAAATATTTATTTATTTATTTTCTGAACTTTTATTTCTAGTTTTTTTCCGCATTTTTTTAAAGTGTTCAAATTATAGTGTCTGAGGAGAATTGATTCATGCTTTGATTAGAATTAGTTATAATAAATGGGAAACCTTTTAATATTAATGATGATTCTGGTTTAAAAAAATTATTGATCTCATTACTAAAGCTAAATGTATCCATCAATCGTTTTAAGATTAGAGATCTACTTGGTGAGGAGTCAAAAAAAATACAAGCCAAAATAAATAAATTTATTTTAAAAGATTGATTCAGACAAAAGATTGGGGAGAAACATTCTATAAATAAATAAAATATACAGTATATAAAAGGAAATATAATATTAAACTTAGCTATGAAAGGGGTTAAACTAAGTGCGAATTCTGAATATATTTGAAGAATGATATTACAAACATTGAATAAATTTGATGTGTTTGTACAATTACGACGGATAATGGTACGAGTTTTATGAAATTAATTAAATTATTAAATGAATATTAATTGGATGAGATAGATGATGTTGATGATGACAATGAAGATGAGGATGCAATTAATATAGAGGGGGTTATAGAGGATTTATCCATCAATGATTGCACCAGGTGTGCAACCCATACTCTCGTGTTAACTGTTGATTCCTTTAAAGAATATTTATAATGAAACTATTATTGATAAAGCAAGGTATGTTGTTAACAACTCCCACAATTGTAGAATCTTAAAAACAACAACAAGACCGATGGTTAAATGCCGATTCGATTTAGAAAAATTAACTAGTTCTTTTTCTTATATATTGGAAGACATGAAAATTCGAGAGAAAATGTTAAAAGATATGCAGTGATCAAAACGTGTCAGAGTGATATACTGACAAAATTGCAACAATTTTTATGCATCAAGAATAACACTCGGTAATATTATCTTATTTGCTTAGATTTATAAGTTGGCTATCATCATTTAAAACTATTGTGAAAAAATTCATACCTTAAGTTGCTTTGAGGGCATCTTTGAAAAAGGATTCTCAAGATCCTACCACTTCTGGCTAGTGATATATTTTTAGAAAAATTTTATTTTATCTATTGTTTATAACAAGTTTCGCTTGTACAAAATTGCAAAACATGTCTAATGCAGTTTGATGAAAGATTTAATGATGAATCAATGAAATTTTATAAACCAAAGGGAATGGTGGAAAAGACATTTCTTAAAGATGATATTTGTTAATTTCACCATTTGAATTCGAGTCATGTTTTTGAAGAAAGTCTAAGTTTCAAAATATTTATATGATAGCTAAAAAGGAGAATGTAATTATTACACATAACCTGGAGATTAAAGGTCTGCATTGGGTGGGTTTTGGACCAAAAGCTCGCCCATCCAATGTTTTTTAAAAAAACCCGCCCGCCCAGCCAGCCTATAGTTTTTAAAAAAATATATACCCGCCCACCCGCCCATTTGTCTAAAATTCCTTACTCGCCCGCCCATTAGTCGAAAATTTTTTACCCGCTATCCCATTAGTTATAAAAAAATTTTAACCCAAGCCCGCTTGTAAAATTTAATTATGGTCATTCTTTCATTTTAAGCATCTAATAAAAATATTTCAGCATTACACCTCTACAAAAATTTATAATTTAGGAAATTAAATAAGTATAAAAATAATCAATGTAAATTCTGGACAATTTATTTGATCAAATTAAATATTTATGAAAAAAATATAAAAGTAAAATTAATATTATATGTAATTATAATGCAAAAATAATAATGAATCGACATTTTCTGGATTCAAACACGTTCTTCTTTGTTCTAAAAATCTTCCAGCAATGCTAAATCCGCGTTCGGAAGAAGCACTAGTTGCAGGAATTGCCAATATTTTTCTTGCTAATCTTGATAGCTTTGGCACAAAGTAGGATATCCGTTTGAAGTACATCCTCTTCCTCAAGTGAGATCTTTAAATAAAAGTGAAACCCAATACAGATTGCAAACCCAAAAAAAAAGAAATTTTCAGAGAAAAGTTTTATTACATTCCCATAAAAGGAAATATTAATCTAAGAAAAAAGTTTTAATGTTGTGTTTATTACATAATATAGTTAGGTAAATGTTCTTCACTTTAAAAAAAACGATTGGTACAATAAAAAAATAAATATTGTAATAGATCATTTAAAAAAAAAATATTTTTAGTTTGTTTTTGAACAAAAATTTTAAATTTCCTTAACCCGCCCGCCCAATTTTTAAATTTTTTAAACCCGACCGCCCGCCTGCCCATTCTTGAAAAAATTTTACCCGCCTATCCGTCCGCCCACTTAGACGGGCGGGCTGGCAAAACCCCGTGCAGACCTCTACTGGAGATTAAAGAATGTAAAGATATATCAAGATGGGAGAATTGTAAATTTATTTAAAATATATAAATTAAGCTTCTTCTAATGATGATTCTCAAACTTACGTTTCAGATTAGAATATTCGTTTATTTTACCTTATACCTTACTTTCTAATTTTTCTGCTTTCCCTAATTATCAATATATAAATTTTATTAATTCCCACTACTTACTATCGAAAGGGATATGAGTAAAATTAAACTAATTAAGACAAGACTTCGTAGTATTCTTTTCTAAATTTTACCATTTTATCAATGGAACAATATTTATTTAAATATAAATATTCGAAATTACTTTCGTTTTCTTCTTCCCTAATTTGCCTAAATTATTAATTTCAAAAAAATATTTTTTTAATGTAGATATATTTTTTACATTTTTATTTATATTATTTATTAAAGATGCAATAATTATTATAATTTATTATTGAGGTTAGGAATCAAAAAAATAATTAATTGCTTCATCAAAAATCTGAAGTTTATCAGAAAAAAATGGACATTTTTCAAGGAAAATATCAAAAAATAAATTAGACCACTGTGACTAAAAAAGACACTTTCATTTGGAAAAAAAGATATTATGATATTGAAAAAAGCCAATGGGTTGGGCCGGTCCGGACTTTGCAGTTCGGTTTTACAGATGCCCTAAATGATATCTTTTAGATATTTACCAAGTATGAAACTACAAAAGAAAAATCCATATATTTTTTATTTGGCATTCATTTCCAATTTGCTAACATTATATAACACAAAATAAAATATAATAAAAAGTATTCCATGTAACAGAGCAAGGTATAATAAAAAATGTAAATATAGATATCAAAAAAATATTTTTTTTACATAAAAAATTAATTGTAACATTTCAAGTTAAAACGGTATAAATGCTATGAAAAAAAAAATACAATATTTGTGCTTGCTGTTGTTTTTTTGGATTTGTTTAAATGCATTATAATTTTGTAGACAAAATTCAAATAAATTTATTTTATAATAAGTACGGTAATATAAACATATGATTACTCTGCCAGAATATTATATATCGATTCCAGAGTTTAGAGTCTTGATAGAACCCTCTATTCCCTCCTGCAAAAATGAATATTCAAAATTATTCGGTGAATCACGTGAGTATTTGGGATAATCGAAATTTTTTAACGCGTCACTGGGTGTCTTATAATTATTGTCCCTTTTGGATTCTGCCGCAAAAAAATAGTTATTTCCATTCGTACCTTTAAATCCTCGAGGTTGTAAGGTCTTCAAAGGAAGGCGTATCAATGATGTATCCATATTTCCAAACTCGCAATTTCCCCGATAATAATTTGTGGGAAGAATGTCATTGCTGCTACTGTTATCATATTTCGCGGTATTATTATTATTTTCTAAATCTATTCCAAAACATTTCCCAGTTGAGTGAGAGGAACCAACCGGTGTTAATATGCTCGATTTGCCTGGGGGATAAAAGTTTTCCTCATTACCCTGGCTATTTAATGACATTTGATATATGTTGTTTTCGACAGGAAATTTCTGAGCTTTCAATGATTCATTCTTAATAATCTCTTGTTCTCGTAATGAATGTCCCATCGCCGGAGAAGGTTTCCTTCCTATATAATTATGAATGACTGTAGTTATGCTCAGTTTATTTTCATTTTTTATTTTATCAATCTGCGGAGGCCCTTGACGCACGTTCAATGGTTCCTCACTATTCAATATTAAAGGGGAAGGAATAGATCCATTTCCCGAATCGCTCGATAGATTTGAGTATTGCTCGAAAAGATTATTAGGTGATAGTTGAGGTGATTTCTAGTTTTCGCAATATAATATATCAAACATTATTTTTTATTCGCTTTTAGTTTGACAGGACTATGACCTTATACTTATTAAAAATTATACAGTATATTACTTTAATGATGTAAATCAAATTTTATGACAACTTTTTTTTAAACATAAATAAAATGAGACCTGTTTCCATTCTATAAAGTTAGGCCTAGCAAAATATTTTGATATATCGTCTGGGCATAATAAATTTCTATCATTCGAATAATACTCTTTCAAAGCAATAGAGCTCCTGAGATCGGAAATCGTAGCATTAACCGGTTTTAAATTCTCCAATTCGCAAAACCTCTCATCACAATATGCCTAAATGATTGATTAAAACATATAACTCAGAGAAGTAAATAAGGGAACGAGAGTCATGTTTAGGGATGTAAGACAGGGGAAATTTCCCATATTTCCCAGGAAATTTTGAAATTTCCCCTATAGATTCCCCAATTTTTATAATAGGTTTTTTTGCCTAAATCAACATGATTTTTAAAATATTAACAGTTTCCCAATTTTGAAAATGATCTTATGATAAAATAAATACGATTTTTATTAGATTTTATAAAATCATTTTTTCCTCGTGGTTCATATCATAAATTATAATTGTGTTTTGTTTTTGAATTATGTCAATTTCCCTATTTACATTTGCAAAATTTTAGAAGATACTTGTTAAAATTAAATAGCTAGTCTGAAAAGTATATTTATATTATAAATAAATAGAAATAGGAATTTTAAAAATCAACACCATAATAACTGACAATGCAAGCAATATGAAAAAAGCATGGGCCCTTGTAAAACTGAAATACCCAACTATTGAATGCATTGGATCCGCTCATGGATTAAATCTACTTGTAAAGGACATAGCAAATAAGATATTATCCATTCAAATTTTAGTCACAAAAGCTAAAAATATCATAAAATATTTAAAATCTAACAATATTCTTTTATCAACGTTAAAAGAAAAACAACTCCTAAGAAATAATAATAAAATTGTTTCCCTAAAGTTGCCTAGCCCAACTCGTTGGGCAGATATAGTTTTGATGATAAATAGCTTGTTAAAAAATAAAGATATTTTACAGGAAATAGCTATTCTTGATATATTTACTGATCGAGATAAGAGACTTACTCTTCTTGATAACGATGGGTTTTTAAATGATCTAATGCAACTATATAATTTTATTAAAGTCATATTTACGCAAATAGAGATAGTGAAAGGAGATAAAGCCAATTTATCTGATGTCCCTCAAGCGTTTATTCATATCAGGGAGACATTTAACGCTTATAAAACAATATCAAATATATTGTCGCAGAGCGAGATTTTAGAAATAGAGCAGTTTATCAAAAGCCGAAAAAATTTTTGTTGTCGGAATATTCATTATGCTGCTCATATATTTGACCCAAGGTTTTGTGGATTTAATTTAAGAGACAATGAAGTTGCAAAGGGGTTGGATTTTCTGGATATCTAGATTTAGATATTGCAAGAGTAATAGGAAACCTATCCAAATATCGTAAGGGAAGATTTTTTTAATATAGCAAGTCTTTGGCAAGGCGCATCATTTACAGATCCAGTGAGTTGGTGGAAGGGTTAAATACTTTTATATTTCTGTAAACAATAACTTAACTCTTTTTCTAAACTTAAAATTGTGTTATTCAATATTTTATTAGGTCTATGTTGCAATCAATACATATCGACCCTAGCCATACGAATTTTATCAGTACCACCAACAAGTGCAGCATCAGAAAGAATATGGTCCTCCTTTGGAAATATTCATTCTAAATCTAGAAATAGAATAAAAAATGACAAAGTTCGCAAATTAGTTTATATAAGAGCCAATCTACATTTTATGGGAAAGGAAATTTCTGAAAATGACAAATTTCTGGATTCCAGAATTTCAAGCTCTGATCTGGAATCATTTTCATCTTCAAACGAAGATAATTAACTATTCAAAATTAATTGTTTAAATATTATTTAGTCTATATATAATATTTCAAATAAAACATGTAAAGTAATTGCAAATTAGTTGAAAATAATTTATATTTGTTTAATTATAATGTTTATAATCTATATATTTTCAATAAAACATAAAAAAAAATCAATATTGACCTGTAAAGTATTATAAAAAAGATAGTTTCCCGTTTTTTCCCTATTTTCCCATTATTTCCCGTTTTTTCCTCCAAAGGGAAATTTCCCCGAAATATAGTTTCCCGGGAAATTTACATCCCTAGTCATTTTACCATTTATTTTATGACCCCCCCCCCCTCACCTAGTATAAAATTCGCAAATTTCTTTTTAAGGTGTTTTAAGTGAATTGTAAATTTAAAAAAGAATATATATTTCACAAATTATGCTTATAAATAATCATCCAATTCAGTAATTTATTATAAATAATTTATGTTTTACTAAAATAAATTGCGTACATTATACCTAATTCATATTTTAAATTGCTTGATTATGAATCCCATTATAAAAATGGACAACTTAGTATTATTAGTGCTAAAGGTCGTCGCAGCCCCACCTGGCCCAAATTATTAGAAATATTTTTAAGTGGCCTAGCTACCAAAATTTTAAAAATGCTTTCAAAGCTGATCATTGGGACAATTTATGTCGTTTTCTTTAATAAAATATTATTACTGGAACAACTTATACAAAATATATTCTCCGGGAAAAAGTAAAATAAATTACCGGAGATTGGTATTCAAATGTCGATGTACTATGCTGCATCGGATTTATTACATTGAGTTTGTCGTAACAATCGTTGATTTTATTCATTTTCTTAGCATTTTGTCTTAGAATTTCGGCATAGTTTTGTTGCTGATACAAATTATCCGAATCTATCAACTCTGATTTAGTTTCGTAACCTAAATCCGTGTAAAATTTTAGAAAATATATATCATTTAGGACTAAGTGAAAATTAACATTATATAAAACAATTTTTTATTTAATGGTTCTCGTGGTTTAAAAAACAAGAAGAAATGGTTAAGTTATCGAGATAGTCATGTGATCACCTCTGGGAGCTTTACTTTTCTTTAGAAACATTTTATTTCTTTCTTAAAAGAAATTTGAACTGAAAATATATGCATTATTAAAATTTATAAGACACATCGAATTACATAGTGCTACTTAATTATTCTAACAGTGTCACTTACCCTGTCACAGTTGGCGCAAATTAGCGGCGAAGTATACAAAAATTAATGTAAAAATATTATATTTATATAATATTTTGTATATTTTGCGGCGAATTCGCACTAACTGTGAACATAGGGTTGGTCGAATCTAAAAATTTGGGCACCATAACGAGTATTCTTATTCTTACGAAAAATATTTGCCATCAACTATATATATATATATTCTGTATTTACTAATTTGTTGGTCACCCGGCTTTATAGGACTAGAAATAGTGATACCCTCATTTACCATGTCCGGGTTGTGTTGAAGAATTCCTTTATTCAAAGGGTGATTAGAACAATCCTCAGTTTTTGAGCCGTTAAATAATGACTTAGAGCCCCTGAAGAGATCATCATCATCGTCGATTTTGTAGTTCAAAATAAACTTCGACCCATTTTCTTTTTGTTTTTGGATAGATCATATATTTTATATATAAATCTAGTAGATTAACATTTAAGTAAATTATGTTATATTATGAATTATATTGTACGAATGATTACAACTCATTTTTATAGCGTAAAATATTATTTTTATTAAACTTAAAGTGTTCAACATAATAGAAGAGTTGGGTTATATTTGGTAAAAGTTTTAAAAATTATGTGCATCGAATAATTAGCTTTTTACCGGTATTTATGTTATCATAACGACTATTATGCTTCCTCTTGCATTGAGCATTCCTACACTGAGAAACGCCTTTGCAAAACCCTCCTTTTTTACGCCTGCAATGTACAATAATGCTTATGTGACAGATAAGAACAACGGCCACAAATACGCATATAAGAATCATAACTAGAGAATGGGAAACATCTTCGATGGCAAATAAGTTGACAGTGCTTCTAGTGTACGGAGTTATCTTCACCCTCTTTAGCATGGTTGTGGAATTATAATAGCTCTGATTGATTCTATCTTTAAGATTTAAATTTGTAAAAAACATTATATTTTTCTATTTCTTAATTTAAAAGTAAAAAAAATGATAATAACCTAAATCATTATCATAAATATTTTGGAAATAGAGCATAGAGGAAGAATTTTGACAACCCGATGTCCCTATATCATTTGTACCCATGACGCATATCACATATTTGAAGTCACGTTTCAGATTAAAAATTTCATAGGTTTGAATGTTGTCAGATGAGTACACATTATGCCATTCAAATAAATGTGTATCTTTATCTCCGGTGTCATGATTAGATCTTTGAACTAAATTGCGGGAAAGTATAGAGTTTTGAATGTTGTCCAATTCTTCGATCATTCTGACACCAACGGAAAAATTGGTAGGAAGACCTCCGTCAAAAGGTTTCTCCCATTTTATATTAACGGAATATGGTGATAATCTAGTTAAATTTATCTTCCTGACTGGGTATGGTTTGCCTTAAAAATCAAATAATTTTTTTTGGGGAAAAGAAGAAATTCAGTTTAGTTGTTATTATATAAAATTTATTCGGTATTTACCTCTTTTCGCGATAAAGATATTTTGAAAGTCTCTTCCTAAATCATTATAAGCTACACATTGAATAGTAGTATTGAGGTATTTTGATGATACCTTTGATAGAGAAATTTTGCTAAGAGCTGTAAAGTTTTCCATGGAGTATGAATTTGTAATTAAAATACCTTTAATACGGTTATTCGTTGTCACTCTTTTACCTAATTATCACAATATACTATAAGGAAATAATTCTCAAATTGTTATAAAGAAAAAAAATAAGTATACATTATAAATTCCATTACTAAAATTGATAAAAACTAACCTTCTAATATCCAATCTACCAAGACTTTGGGGTAACCATAGGCCTGACAATTCAAATTAACTGAATCGGTTAGGTCTGGAGCTACAATCTTAATGTTATTCAATGAAAAGATGGGCGCATATTTGATTTTGAGTTTTATATTTGCCAAAACCTGACCAAATTTGTCTTCGAATATACATCCATATTTACCGGCAGTCTTAGGGTTAACTCGCTTAATTTGCAATTCCATAAAATCTTTGCCTTTGAACTGTGTTTAAAAAATGTCATGTATAAAAACTATATTAAAAAGTCTAAAGTCAAAATTGTATAATAAAAATATCATGATATTTTAACTAAATAGAACAAAAATGATAGTTAAATTCATATTAATTGAACTTGAAACATGGATCACATTATAAAAATTATATTACCATAATTAAATTAGGATCATTATCTTCGGTGAGAGTTTTTCCATCGTAAACCCATTTCGTAATGTTAGGTCTCATTTGTACATCATAATCATTATTATTTGGAGTGGTTGAAGAATCAATTGAACCACGATTATGATAATAAACTAAACATCTCATGGTGGCAAGGCCTCCATTGTCCACTTCTAACTCTGTATGAGACGTGCTGATGCGTATTGGTTTCATCAATTCCAAATTCAATTTTACCCACGTGTTTCCGGCTAAATTGGAAATCAAACATTTGTAAGCTCCTACATCCGTGTAATCCACTTTGTTTAACTTAAGCTGCTTTGATGTGGTATCTAGGAATAGGCTGAGATTAGAATTTTTTAGTATTCCGGTTATTTCTATTAGGATAAATTATGAAAATAAGCGTTTTATAATAATTCATATGAAATGCAGAAAAAAAATGTCACAAATTATTTAATATATAAAAATTACCTTCCTTATAGCATTCAAAACTCTTGATATCAGGAGGATATCCGAAAGAGTCAATACTTATCAGGACTTGCGAGAAATTAGAAGTTTCATATAACTTTACGACCTGAGCTCCAGCCATATTCAGTTTAAACAAAGGAAGAGTTAGGATTAATATTTTGGCGCTTGCATATATCGAATTTTTTGTCGTTTTGCTTATAGCTTGACAAGTGACTATCTTTTCGTGAAGTGTTTGGTCCACCTCCATCTGAAGTTTAGAAAATTGTTCATTATTTTATCACGGCTAGGTTTGGATTTTTTAAAAAAAAAAAATTTCGACTCTGCCCGGATTTTTTTAAAATATATTACATTTATTTTTAATTAGTATAGTTAACAATGGCAATTTAAAATGTTTGGTTTTAAAATATTCTGCCATATCCGGGTATTTTTAAAAAAAATAAAATACGGCCCCCCAGCCCGTGTGCCCGTGAGGTGTCTGATTTTTATATAATAATAGTATATACTTAAAATGTTATGCGATAGGATATATTGTATTGAATTTTTATTCCTTATTTACAAAACGATATTTTTTTTTAAAAAAAACCTAATTGTTATATCTACCCCTAATTTATTTTATTGGAAATTAAATTGGCGCCTAGTATCGACTGATTCAGAAAAAATCCCGCTATTAGGTCTCTATTTTTAAGAACCTATGAAAATAAGTAAATAATGGTGTGACCTTTTACACTTTTTTAGGCTATTTAGTAAATCGAATCAGGACACACCCTAGGAATCTTTAAATATTTATGGTGAAATTGAAATTGGCGTAATATATTTAAATTATTTGAAAAAATAAAAGACAAAAAATATTACTTCTAGTACAGAAAGGGTAATTTTTACGAATGATTTTTTGTCCTCAATAATTTGAGTAGAAATCACGGATACGTTAGGAAGAGGATTATTCTCTAAAAACCATATAAGTGTCGGCTCTGGATTACTTTCGGAAACTCGGCACGTAAACTTTTTAAGTTGGTGAACTTTGGCTTCGACCAATGTTGGTAATAGTTCGATTTGGTTTGCATCAACTTTATATTTATATATTTTTTTAAAAATATATATTTTACCAGTTATTTCGAAAATTTAAGGATAAAATTGTATATTATTTATTTTTTTAGCCTGGCTAAATCTTATCATTTAACTATATAATGTATGTCATGTGGGTCGCAAATACCGTGCTATTCTACCTTAACTTATTTTATAGAAAATTATTAAAACTAATCAATTATAGTGCCCTTTAAAGACTTCGCCAAAATCGTATCTAACCTGTAGGATATCCATCCTGTGAAATACAGGCAATTTGGCCAATAATTTTACTTTTAAATGATATATTACAACTCTTAAATAGAGATAAATTGTTATGTATACTTAATCCAAAAACGGTTGGTTTACTTTTTTTATAAAAATTTTGAATAAAAAATGGGTTATTTAGGCTTTATATAATCTTTATGAATTCATTCTTACAAGTGATGTTGGGCCTGTAAGAAATGCGAGTATTTATGTCCGCAAATTTGTGCTTGTAAATACATTGGATAGAATTTTTCATATGATTTCTTTTCGCTTTGAACGTGTATTTGATATTGGCCCTGCCCTTTTTGTCATATTCGATTGGAACCTAACATATTTAATTATTTATAATGAATGATTTAAACTGATAATTTGTTTTTATATATTTCAAATCCTAAAATAATTTTTGAGACACTTTTTACATTTTAATGATAAAATCTATTTATTTTTTTCCCAAATTGTTTTTATGTGAAATGTATATCATTCAAGAACATAATTATGTTTTTAAGAAAATCAACCTTAATTATTTTATCTTTTATCTTCCAATACATATCAGAGCCGTTAAGATCGTCATAAATAGCGCACTTTAGTACTGCAGTTTGGTTTTCTGGTATGGACAACGCGTTATAACTGGGCTTTATAAGCATTATCCCAAATCCCTTTGGAAAATCTGTCAAATATAAAATAATTGATTTCATCATAAAATTAAAAATTCATACTTTTAAAGAGCGAGATATAATTTAAATTTAAAGGTTAGTTAGTAAATAAATTAAATAATATATAGTTCTTAAACCAAAGATATCATAAAGCTTTATGGTGGATATATTTTGTTGACTCATCGGATTTATGGCAATACAGGATATGTCAAAAAAAGTTGCGTTCAAATCAAAGGGTCCTAATTTCAAGATGGACCAGGTCATGTGTCCATATCCAACTTTGTCATCCGAAAATGGATTAATTTCATTTCCGTATTTCAAATTTTTCGCATATACGTAAGGTGTGGAGATGGAATACGTCCACTTGTCGTTAAATTGGGTTAGATTTAGCATATTAAATCCGTCGTTGCTTACATCTCTTATGATTTCCAAATTGCTGTCCACGGTAAAATTTAAAGCATTTGAATGCCAGCGAATTTTGTGGGGTGGATTATTTGCCGATGTTAAACACATCACATAACTACTCTGATTACGCATAAAATCTCCCTCAACTTTTTTAAGGGTCAGGTGTTCTGGAGGATCTAAAATACAAATTTTGAAAAACCTTTAGAATAAATTTTTCTGATAACGAATTGAATTTATATGGCTAAAGTCCATACCAAGTTTCCTAGAAGTTTGGTAGTCTCCATATGTAAAAAAAAATTAAAACCAGAAGTATATAGTTATAATTTATTATACAAGGTAGTTTTAAAAATATTAGAATTATTCAGAATTAATACAACTATATTAGATAAAAATGTTTAATGACAAACGCTTGAAATTATCCAAATTTTTTAGTATATATTTTGTAGCGGCTCGATTTTTTTCAAATTTTATATACGCTATAGGAACGCTCTGGTATGGTCTTAGTTAACCTATACCATTTTTTTCATAAAATATTATTTCAAGCTTTACGCATATATTATTATTTTAATTGATGTATACATGATACTTTATAAGTTTGAAATGATATTTGTATGAGATAAAATGCTATATAATTAATATACGCTTATATAATCTTATTTTATTTATTATTACACTTCTAATATAATATAACCGAAAGAGAGATGGTTAGGTAATTGCTCAATTTTTAGCCAATTTAGCCTCTACTTTTATCAAGGATAAAAATTAAACCTAGTTTTTACTTTTATCTCAGCATCAATATATTTTTTTTAAAAATACAGCTCATATTTAAATTAATTAACTGAGCCTCAATGCTTAACAAATTTTTTCTTAGGTGCGCGCCGGCATAATGGAACGAATTCTCCATTTACTCAATGCTCAAAATAAGTACTATATAACATTATACTATATAATACGAATGCAAATTTTACATGACACATATATTCGAGTTTGCGCTTCCACTTTTCCTTGATCCAAATTATTAGCAGCTATGCACCTGTACGTTGTGTTATCATCTTTTTCAGACGCTACGAAGGAATAATTGGATTCCCATACGTTATCCCTAATAATATTTCGGAAATAACTGAGTTTTAAAATTTATATGTTTTAATTTAAAATTTTATTTCTTATATATATATATGGATTACGAAATATAGAAAAAACTTGATATAATCATTTTTTTTTAAATATATAATTTTTTTTGGATGTATTCATGATTAAAGGAGTTAATTATAATTAAAAAGCTCAAATACTTTTGTTAATTAACCAATGTTTGGTTATACGAAAAATAAATTTTTTTTCAATATGGTATTGATATCGTTCGGAAATTTAAGCACTATTATTTTTTGATTTTAAATATACATAAAAAGTCATCAATTAAGTTAAGGGCACAATTCAAAAGTTGTATAATATAAAAATTTGAAACCAGAGTAAACCCATGCAAATGGGCCCAAAGCCCCGTCTCGCCTAAAAAATTGAATGTGAGGGTTAGGAGGGGGTCACTTCTTTTTTTTTTAAATTTGGGCCGGGCTAGAACTTGAATAATATTTTTTTTTTAATTTATAAATAAAAAATAAAATTTATTTTTGATTATGGTAAAGCAATAATTTATTTATTTTTTTTACTTCATTTGATTTCTTAAACATTTAATTTATATCTTTTAATTAAAATTTTCGGTTCAATGAGGTGGCCTGGCTGGATTAGCTGGAAAAAAAAATGAATTTGGAGAGTTATACTACAGTGGTATACTATTATTAGTATGGGCATGGATGTGTACAAATTTTCATAGCCAGACCACAATTGACAAAATTTTGATCCAATCAGGCCTGAGTTTTGTTTTCTAGTCCGAGTGTCATTTTTTGGCCTTGCATAAGCCGGGGTTTAGAAAAATTATTCTAAGGTCCTAGGCTCTAGCATAACACGACGAGCCTTACAGTCTCTACTTATAAAACAGTTTATATTATAAAAGAAAATCTTTTCATTGGTTTTGTTGTGATATGCGAATTTATGCACTTATAAATAACGGTTATTTTTCTTATGCAAATTATATATAGTGATTAGATGTCTGCAAAGTTTATATCGAAGACTAAAAAATATAATAATGAACAGTAATAACTTATCAATATCATTATCAAAAGTGTCACAAAGTGAATAATTGTGATATATAGTAATTAGGAGTCTAGTTTATTCGGCTTTAGTCCTTTTCTCTTCAAAAGCCCTACCAGCAGCTGAAATGATCTTTCAATGCTAGCTGACAAAGTATGGATAGCTAGGAATTTAAGCCAAAATGCTTATATTTGGAAAGTCATTATGGTTTGTCTTTCACCATTTTAAAATATTATCATCTTATAATTTAGCATCTAGGTATTTTTGAAATTTGTATACTTCAATGCGCATCAGAAAACGCACTGTCAGTCTCCCATAGAGAGAAATCCAAAAACTTATCTCCTCAGTATTTTCTTAAGAAAAAAAATATTCATAATATAAAATAATAATTTTAAAAAATATATTTACTTTTAATTCATAATTTTATAATTAATTTAATAAACCTTTATTCACTATACTCTATAGTTTAGTAGAAGCTAGATGGTGAGTTGGTGTTTATAGATTTTTGCCCAATCATATCTCTAATGATCTTCTCGGCATTAATCAATGAGCTAATATGTTGGCTATTCCAAAATTTTGTACACAAAAAAATGTCGAAATTTGGTGGAAATCTATTTAAAATTTATCCACCATTATTTTCCGACATCTTTGTGACAGCTGGGTAAGCTGGCAATTTATGTTTGGATGAGCAAAAAAAATAACTCAATATTTTGTGATAACACAATATAATTTTGTGATTGGTGAGTTTTAAATCACCATCACTCGTAAAAGGCGTCAGAAACTTAATAAGATTCCTCATCATTTCATAATCTATATTTTCGAGCCTAATTTTTTTTCCACTAGAACTGAGAATCTCAAATTTTTGAATTGATTAAAAATCGATTCAATCATCTATAGTCTGCAATTCCTTCAAATCTCAATACACGTGTTTTATCAAGTTGATTAACTAATATAAAATTTATTCCTATGTTATGATAAAATAACATATCCACTCTATTTTATATAAGTAACTAAACTTTTACTATCAACAAAACATCAAATTTAATACTGTATTTAAAAGATGAGAAGCCCAATTTTATCGTTTATGATCCTTGAATGCTTCATTTTACCTCCTTGGTTTGTAATGAATGACATTTCAGATAAATATGCTCTACTGCATCCTGATATAAAAAATACATTGATTTTTATAATTACTTTAATATCAATACCTAATAAAGTGAAATTTCTAATAATTTTCTTTTTATATTTTTACCCGTCTCCCTTTTCTTCTTCAAACATGCAGAATCGTCTAAGAAATGAATAGTAAGAGTTACATTATATACTTTTTTATTATCAGTCCAGATCTGTAGTAGCTATAAAAAATTACAAATAATTTAGCTATATTTTCATATTTAGTTACCACATATCTACCCTTTTTCTTATATATGTTTAATTTCGGGAAATTGTTGTAGGATTCGAAATGATACTTTTAACATCAATAATTTCATATATTAGGCCAATTTTGGGAAAATATTGGCATAAATCAACAAAGCCTTCCACATGAATTGTATCAAATAATCTTAAATCACGTCTACAAAACATGGTAAGCACCTTTGTACACTTCTTTTTTTAATTTGGTACAACTTTTGAGTTTTTTGGGATCAGTAACAAAAAGGCTATCAAATGTTAATTGACTCTTTTTACTCTCTATAGTAAATACACATTTATGCCTTTTTAGTTGATTTGTGCCTAAAATAATTTAATAATATCATATCATATATCTAGTGTATAAATATATGAAATTATAAAGGTATATATATTTGCAAAAATTGCAACTCACATAATTAAGTTTCTTTGTTTTCATCATATATAAATGAAAACTTTTTCCAGACCTCAGATTTGACATTGACATTATTTTCTTTTACTTCATTTTCATTTCTTTTAATCTTTTTACCGATTTTTTTTAATTTAGCATTCATTAAAATAATTTTTATAAAATGAAAATATAAGGCTATTTAATTAAATAGATATTAGTAAAATATATTTTATTTAACTTGATAAAATATTATATCGTTTTAACTATACAATGTATTAAAATATAATCACATAAAATAGTTTGGTATATGGTTGTTATATAAATTATAAAATGACATGTTATTCCATTTAACATTTTAAGGATAAAATGTGATAAATAAAAAATGAAATGGTCTTATAATGACATTATGAATTATAATGGTTATTTAGGATATTTATACTAATATTTATTGTTTGGATCGGGTTTCGAGTGGAACAGTCAGAGCTCAAAAAAGATTTTTATCCGAACTCAACCCAAGCCTTGCAACTCTCTAGACCTGATATAAGTGAGAAATTTTGTACTTGAAGGTTTTATTATTTTTTATTATTCACTTTTTTATTTTGGGATTAATATTATTTTATCTTTAATATTATTTTACTTGTTATTTCTTATTATAAATTTAATTTTGGCCAAAATTTAACAATAAATGGAATCCACCAATTTTATATTAAAAGGTATTTATTTTACAAATTTAATATAGTTTATTTTAATATTTTTAATGGGTATTCAAACGTCCATTTGTTAAAAATTTGAGCATTGGAGTGCTGATAATTAATTATGGAAAATGCCTTGTTGCTCGAAAATAGGACAATTTCGTTTCTCAAGCACAAAATATTAAATCAAATTATTATAGATAGAATTACGTTTATATCTCATATTGATTATTAAATGTAACTTTTTTTAAAAAAAAATTAATATTAACTCACAAGCCATTAAATTTGAGCGGCTTTATTGGCAAACAAATAAAACTATGTAAAGTTATGGAAATTGTAAAGGTAAAATAATTGTGCAATTTATTTCGTCATTCATTTCTATTTCGCAACAAATTTATTGTCGCCTGAAACAAAAACTTGGCGCAAAAAAATTGTGCAATTTTAGTTTCTTGCTTTGCTAGGACTTCGTCTTATATATATTATACCTTAATTGCGTATTGTGGTTAAGCAGCTGCTTTACGCCATTTTTATACCAATTCACCAACGGCATCGGATTACCCCCGAAAACTATACACTTTAATACAACGTTATTACCCTTGGCCACAAATTTGGCATCTTTCATATATTCCAATTCTTCCCGATTTTCGTAGTTATTATAATCGAATTCAGATCTAATAAGACGGTCATTCGTCACATTAGATATTTCGGTAATCATTATTTTCGCGTGGGTTGGTTTACTCAGCACATTGAGATGTATACTCAAATGGGGGTAGGTATCCAAGGGAAACCCCGGAGGGTTTACGATGCACGTGAATGAAGAGCCGTTATCTAAATTGGTAGGGTGCACCCTTATATCGTTGTATACGACGTTGTAGTTGGATTTCAGGTATTGCGCCGATACATTTCTCAGCCTAACTGTATGATTCTTTTGATTTCTTGATTTGATTTTTTTTAAAAAATAAATAATTATTATGCTTAAATTGGGAAAGGATGGAGGGGTGGGTGTGGTTTTTATAATAACAAAAACTTAGATGACCTATTTTTTAAAAAAAATAATTGGACACACCCAAGGTTGTAATATTAACTATGGTAATAAATTATATATTTATAATGTCAATATAAGAGAATAAAACAAAATGTAAATTAGCAAACCTGATTCACGAATAAATTCTTATTTAATATATTCAAAATAGAATTTTAGATGATTTTGAGATTCTTTAAATTTTTCTTTAAAAGTAAAAAAAATATTTACATTTAAATGAAAAAACAATTTACTTCTTTTTTTTTCAATGTTCAATAAATTCTATTTAAGTTAATCAAAAACTGAGCTTAGTATAAATAAATCAAATATTTTATCATCCAAGATTTTATTATGTTTCAGTTTTTTTTTCTTCTTCAAACCGTTTATGGGATCTCTAACAACTTAAGATTAAAAAAAACTAAAAGAGTAAAACTAATTAAGTTCTTTTTTTGACTACTTTCGTCTTCTTTTATATAATTTACAAAAAATAAATTAAAATAAGATTTAAATGAAATCAATTAAAATAAAATATAAACTAGGGATTATCATTATTAATAATATTTTCATCTTTTGTTCACATTCGAGGTCTGCAATGGAAGGGTTTTCACTACAAACACCCGCCCACCGATTGTTTCAATTTTTTAACCCGCTCGCACTTAATATTTTTTAATTTAACCGTCCGCTCATTTATCTAAAAATGTTGTTACAACCCTCCAGCCCACCCAATATATAAAAATTATTTTATTGGTTGGTTTGGTTCTTTATTTTAAATGCAACATACTTTTCGCTCAAAATATTTTTTTAATCTACCGGCCGCCTACCCACTCATCGTTTGAAAAATATTTTAATCGGCCCGCTCACTCACCGGAGGTTTATAAAACATAGCCTACCCATGCCCACCCGCTGCAGACCTTTCCACATAACATTACAACGGCAAATAAATTTTTACAAATTTTTGGCGCTTCTGTATAGGAATAAATTAAGAGGAACGTGACGAATTTTCAGAATAAATCTTCTTAAAACATCTATATTATATTCCCAATATCAAGAGTATTATATTCTAAAACGTGAATCCCGCACATTTGCATTATACCACTCCTTACCATCCCGTTTTAAGTGCGTCATAAAAATTTTAAGGTAAGGGGGGGGGGGGGGTATGGCCTCTCAGTCAATTCACATAATTGCATTATACTATATTTTAATCGTTAGAGAGAGGGGTCTAGGCATTATTGGCTTTATAAACCTAATGGACTCTGGGGTCTCAATCTAAATAAAAAATAATTTATTCTTAGATGCCAAATATTTTATAAAGTAAACTATTTCTTTATCATATTTCAGTATGTTTCTTATGGTCTAGAATTTACTATACCTGCCTAGTTATCAAAATATAGATTAAAATTTATTTTTTTTAAAAATAATGTATATAGATTTACAGGTCGTTATATCACATACAGTATAATAGACAACATTAATATCGGCGCAATGCAAGTGTTGTGTAGCGATTCTTGCGCGCTATTATTTTCAGTAACGATAGCCTTAGCGCGCTACATTTAAAAAAAATTGTGATAAAGGTAGCTCGCTACTTTTAATTTTTTATAATAAATACACATATATATTATTTTATAATTGATTCTAAAATCGTAATCTTTTTATTTTATTTTATTTTGAAATTTATATTTTAAAATATGCATTAGAAATCTAGTTTTAAAAGGATTTTAATTTTTAATAAAAGTGTAAGCCCAAAATTATTTCCATAAAAATCTAATAAAATGCCTACAATAAGTGGACCTAAAGATCTCTAATGAAATTCATGGGGAAGGAATTCTTCCCCCTCCCTCCACCTTAGCAAAATCCTGAATACATCTATGGCTGTATCTAGTGTTGTTAAACGGCTGGTTTTGAGCCGATTTTTAAAAACGGCTAACTCAATATTTCATCCAGAAAAATATTACGCACCCTTAAGATTTTGCTCATAGAAGGAATAAAGGTCTATACATATATTATCAAAATCTCGAGGCTTAGGCAATATTTTTCAGGCTAAAATATCGAGCGTTTTTAAAAATCGGCTCAAAACGAGCCGTTTAACAACACTAGCTGTATCTATAATAGTTTTTGAGCTAATGATTATTTTAAATAAACAATAATACTACTGAAAATTTTCTAGACGCATTTTTTAAGCCTAAAAATACTCAAATGAATATTTAAGAAGTTTTTACTTATATACAAAATAAGTATATTAAATTTAATACTGCATTACCCTTGTTAAACGATTATTTATTACGTCAAAGCTTATACTTTCTGATCTTGCTCTAGACTTGGGGATAAATGATATTATATTGAAATGCAATAAAAACAAATAAATTATATATATTTGAAATTATAGTCATATTTTTATACTAATATTTTTTATTTGTGGAAATAGAGATACGTAAAAAATATTTTAAAAAAATTTAAAGTAGCGCAAAACGTAGCTAATAGCGAGCTACTTTTTTTGTAAAATAACGGCACCAATAGCGCGTTCCTTTTTTGTAAAATAGCTGTACGATGGCGGGCTACTTTTAAATGTAGCATTTAATAACACTAGCTCAATGCAACATAAATATAATATTAGGGAAAATAAATCGACTACATATAAATTACTTCTTGAACCATGTTATAAGGGAAGACGGTTTTCCTCCCCATACAGAACATCTCAGATTTAAGGTGTCGGCCTTGGTAACGTTAATATGCATCATTAAGGCAGCTTTGGTCACCATCGATGAGCGATCATCGAAGGACGAAGAGAGTATGATGAAAGGTTGGCTTTCCTTGTTCCGGTAAACCGATATTTCGGGATTTTTGAATGGTAAAATTGCTATGCTTAATTTAGCTTTAGCCCTGAGCCCAGTATCACTTATCATTTTGACGGGTAAAACTTGGCATTCGTAAATCGCTTCATCGGTTAAGGAAACGTTTTTGACGAGTAGAGAAAAATTTCCATCTTCTTCACGCCCTACCATACTGTAAGTCGGAAAACGAGGTATTTCCCTATTGGAACCTGTGGGTATGATATATTTTATGTTTATGTAGATATTTAATTTTAACTCCTAACTTTTTTTAAAGATAAATAACCCAATGTTTTTTGGTCACAATTAATCAGAATTCAAGTTAAATAGATTTTTATTAACTTTTAAATTTGTTATAAAATGAAAAATGTTTTCTAAAATCATAGATTTCTTGTTATCCCCCCTTTGCTTTTGAATGAAAATGTCTATCAAATTATCTAGTCACTGGTATGAAAAATTATGAGAGCAAGTCAATTTTATTAATTCCGCATATCCCCTAATTCTTTTCTGAGTATGGATTTATATACTTATATCTCTAAAATCTATCTTAATGATTTCTATATAATTTTGAAGATTACATTTTACATGAAATGGGTATGAAATAGACTCAATAAAGTGGCCCACCGTCAAATTAGGTGATAATCTTTTAAATTAGGCTTCATAATTATTTAGGAAGATAACACCAATTTTTAAAGACTGATGGCAAAAATAGAACGGCCAGTGAAGTGTTGACAAAATGAAATAAAATACACTTATATTTACACTCATTAAAAAAAACTAATGACGATGTCATGATGAAATATAAAGTATACATAACAAGTTCTATTATAATGATTAGTAAATACTGATTATAGTATATAATACAGTTATACAGTGAAAAGTTTAGATATGATCTTCAAAATTTTAAGTATTCTCATAAAATTTCAAATATATCATTTATATAATTTTTTATTATAATATTTCATTGCTAACTTATAAATTTTAATTACCGAGAGCTACTGCATTTTTGGTCCATTGAACTTTTCCGACTCTGTTATTTATCACGCATGGTAGTAAGACATCCTGTCCAAGGCGAGTTAATGTGTCAACCGGTTTTATCGCGAATGATTGATCTATCAATGATATACCTTAAATATTTTTCATACATTTTTTTAATATATTATTAAAGCAAAGTATTAAAATTATCGTGATACTGTATCAATAAAACTGTATTCAAAAAGTTTATTTACTATCAAACGATATTGTAATTACCTTTGACATTTCTAAGTATCTTAGTTCTGAATTTCTAAATCGATACATTTTCAATACTTTATAGATTACATTTAAAAGAGTATCAGATTTTAGATTTTCTATCGGTACATTTGATGCACTATAAAAGTATGGTACAACTCTGCATAAAAATATCTCATGTTGATAATAAATATTGATAGAATTATTATATATTAATTAAAAAGGAAAATCTATATAGCAACAAAGGTTTTATCTTAATTTTTTGAACTTTTTTGTTAAAAATAAATTTACAAAAAATACTTTAAAATTTTTAGCATTTGGTTAGAATATATGAATCTCAAATCTTGAAAATATTCTATGTCTCCTATAGTTTATTATTAGATAATATACGATTTTTAACATTCAGAATATTTTCTAACATTTAATTATAATTTTTAATCATAACATCCTCTTGTTTATCTAGATTAGATTGCTTACTTGTAATATTATTATTTCCTATATTTTATGAATATTTATTTCTAAAAAAAATTCAATTTGACAGATATTTATAACTAAAGCATGAAAACTATTTTTATATAATTATACAGTATAAAATAAATATCTAAATAAATATTTAAAAAAAGATATATTACACAGTTATATTTATACAACATAAACGTTATTCCTTCGGGAAATATTGTTACATAATAAAAAAAAGACTCAAATTAAATTCGACATATAAAAACAATAAAAAATTTATTTTTAATCAAATTAACAAAATTCATTTAATAAAATAATCCTATTCAAAATCGATTATTTCTAACCCGCCTTTTTATAATTTTGATACATTCTAGACTAAATAAGAGTTTATAATATAATATAAACAATGTTCAACAAATCTATAATGTTATTCGCGGTGGATTATCCACTTAAACCTGATCACTAGACACTCCCCTCCCCCAAGATTTTTAAAAATAGTTAACCCTCGTCTTCTTAATTTTTTTCCTTTTTTCCCATTTTTGAGTTTCACCTGTTCTGGTGATTGGAAAAAATCTGAAATTTGTAGGATCATTTTGAGATTCAACGGAATATGGTAAATAAACAAACATCCATCCTTCAAACAAGACCAGAAGATATTTAATCGCCTCGTTTTTTTGATATATAATATTTGACTTTGTAGCTTGCCAGGTCAAAATTTTCAAATTGCGGGAGAAATTTGGTATTTTGCGGGTGAAATATAGAAACTGCTAAAATAAATTTTGCTGGCCAAGCCCGATAAGTGTCGACCTTCGTCCGGAATTGTGATGGCTTAGTTATCCCTTTATTAATTTTATAACTACTTTATATAAATACTAACGAAGTCGGTAACCTTATTATGTATAATTAAGGGCTTAACCCTATAATGTTATACATAAACACACATGAAAAGGATAAAATATGAATGAATGATGTTGATTTATTATTGTATAAAAATAAAACATATGATTAAGGTAAGGAGTAAGGATAGAAATAAATTTACAAACTTAGACATGTTTTTTGAATAAATATTTAAAATTTATTTTAAAAATATAAAAATAATCTATTACTGTTTTTCAAATTATTATTTTAAAATACTAAAAAAAAAATGTGTGGGAGAAATTTAAAAATAGCGATAGATATTTAAGATATATTTCTTATTGCGGTAGTTTTGTGAGAGTGAGATGTCAGCGTGTAAACTAAAAAAAATTGCGGGAGTCTCCCGTTAAAAGGGGGAGACCTAGCAACCCTGTTTTGTAGTTGTAATATTTTTTTAAATTATAAAATGTTTATGCTTATAAAAAAAACGATTGTTTTCAAATTCAATAAATGTATTTTTTTTAAACAGGTCCATATAAAATTTTAAAATTGTTTTTTGAATAAATATTTTTAAAAATACGCATCATGCATCGCTTTTTATAATGTATCTCACTTAATATATCTAACCATAATCGACTTTTTGAAATCATTCTTAATTACGCTTAGGGCAATTTATGTAATTATACTATTAGAGTCGGATCTTTACATTCAAAATCTAGATATACCTATTTTTTATATATAGTTTGTTTAATATCATAATCTTTTCGCTGTTTTCAGCAGTGCATTATTTTTCTTACCTAGAAAAATTTATGATTTTATTCCTTCTTACCTTGTATATACCTGAAATCCCTGGTGGCGAACTAAGTGTTCATAGTGAGCAGGGCATGGTTATGATTAAAAGATGCGATTAGGTCCAAGGCCAGAAAGCTTCAGTTGCTGGGGGTGGGGCAATTGTGATTGTTTTTATAAGCTATTAGAAACAAAATCGGAGGCTAAGTTATTGGCCGAAATTATTATGGGGGTGGGGTCTATGGCGCTGGATGCGATAATCAATGCTAAATGATAGTCTTTATTTGGTAATTTAAGCATTGCAATGCAATGTAGCATATACAATAAATGAAGCAATAGGATGTCATAGAGGTCAAAAAATTCCTCTTCTATATAAAAGTTGCATGTCTAAAAAAGACTATTTCTAAACCATTAGCTTCATTATTTTATGACAGCACTCTTCCTACCCCGGTGTTGGTAATATTTTTTGATTTGAGTCTATTTATTCCGCTGCTTTATGGAGTTTAAGATCCTCAAATGTTGTGGTTTATAATATAACTATAACAACTTTACATTTTAAAAAAAATATTATGATAAGATAATTTCGCAATATTTAGTGCACCATTTAATGATAATCTAATTTACAATTATTTTTAAAAAATCCTTATCTATAAATATTTTAAGAAATAAATCCTATAATTATCGATGATGGGTTTTTATTGATTTTAATTCCAAAAATGAAATATGTATTTTTCTTTATTTTTAAAAAATTCACACACCAATAAATCTCTTAACCCTCTTTTTTGAAAAATATTGCTTCTTCTTTTTAATCAGGCCAATTTTGGGTGATAATTAAATCACGATAATATTGAAGATAGATAGTTTTATAAAATAAGATATCTTAAATTCTTTAAAATATAAAAAAATTGAATTTTAACTGACTGAACCGAACCAAACCACATATTCTTTGTTTACGGAATAGAAAAAAATAATACTGAAACAAACAGCATATAACAATTATATCTTGCTATTTAATAGATGTCCGGATCCCTGGGCCAGATGGGTAGACTTCCCCTTTCCCTGGATTATTGGCTTAAAAACCTATTCTGCATCTTTTCAGTTATTTATTTCATCTAGTCCTGATTATGGTGATATTATAAGAAACATATATAGATATATCAAATAAAATTTAAAAAAAAGGATATTAAATAGTTAATCTTATATATTTAATAGCTAAATATATGGTTTGGCTTTTAGGTGAACAGTATAAATTATATGTAGTTAAGTAGTTGCTATTTAACCAGTAAGCAAAGATTTTTTTATACTCATTCCAATTCTCAAGAGCACACCATGTAGCCTTAACATATGTTAAATTATTAATTTCTATTCGGTTAATTAATACTGGGCAATAAAAAAATATATAATTTTAAAATTAAATATAATAAAAGTGATAGAAACTAAAAGTAATTAAAATATTAAAGTTTCTAACCGTAAAAAATCTCAAAGATCAAAAAAAGGTGTTGAATTAAAAATTAAATGTATTATTTTTTTTAAATGCAAGGAAACTTTAGCCTAAAAAATGTAAAAAAAATATTGAAATTTTGCATTTAAGTATGGTTGGGTTGGTAGTGCGGTGTACTAATGATATTTAATTACACCAGAAATCCGAACAAATGTTATCAACCTTGTTTTGATATGAGTGAAGAAAAAATTTGTAAAATTTTTGTTTTATAAAAATCTAGTTCATTTTGTTTAAAAATCGAAATGGAAAAAAAATTTAAACAATAAAAAAGTGTTATAATTAATTAATTAATTTACTTTTAAGATAGATATATTTTACAGACTAATTTAAATATTAAATGATTGTGTGTGTTTATATGTACATATATACTAGATAATTGTGAATGAATGCAAATTTTATTTCCCTTAGTTATAATATTACCTTTATAACCTATTTAAATTTATTAATCCATTATCACTATTATATATATATACTAATAAAATAAATTTTGTAAGTTTTTTTGAAAAAAAATGCTTTATATTATTTTTAAAATATAAATTCTTAACCTCTCAATCCCTTTTCATTCAATTTCTCTCTAACTCTGCTTGCATTGAAAAGAATCTATCAAATTTCACGATTAACTACAAAAAAAATTCATTCAAATGATTACTTACTAAAATATAAATATTACATTACTTATATATATTATTATAATTTTTTAAAATCACACAATTTTCTCAAGTGGTTCTTTTAAAAAATATTAAATGATTGTTTAAATTATTTTTCATGGTAATTTAATACGCATTAATTGTCAACTTATTAAAAGATAAAAAAAAATTTATATAATTTATTACTGTCGCAAAAACTGATTTGCAAAAATGAAATATTTTAACTATATTTTTTTATACAAAAAAAGTAAAATAAGTTTAAACTGAAAATTATTAGTTCTTTTGTTTGTGTTTGTTTTTTATTCTTTTTTTTTTAACACAGGTTATTACTTATATATAGGAGATTATAATTTGTAATTGAATATTATTCATATTAATTTTATTTGAAATCGATATTATATTCTCACTCACATATCCTCCTAAAAAGTACACCCGAAATACAGTTTAAATTTATAGCACTTTTTTAATAAAAAAACTTTTGTTTGCAAAATAATTAAAAAAATTATTAGATTATAATTATGATGGTTATTATTATAGTATTGTGAATTACGATATACCTTATATAATAAATCCCTACTAGTGCAAATCTTTGTATTAAACTGATAGAGTAGCTAGCGTTATATCTAAAACTATTTCCAAATATAATTTTCCAAAAAATCTAATTTTGATATTTTTTTAGAAAATCAGATATTTTTATCATAAATATTATAATAAAATTTACTTAGAGAGGTTGGAAAAGAAGGGCGGGTGTGGGGAGGGAGAGTAAAGAAAAACTTATTGAGATTCCTTCGAACCTCATATAGTAACACATATATTTTATTTTTCAAACTGTCTCTTATCCATATTTGATATTTGACATTCGGTTTTTTGATCGATTCCCTATTTTTATTTCGGTCTTTGGGCAGTTATAAACTATAATCGAAGTAACTCGTTACTTTTTACATTACTTGTATTTTATTATTATATTCTAATCCTTTTTATTTTATTATTTCATGTTTAAGGTTTAAGATACATCCTTGAAAGTACAAACAACTTTCAAATATTAAAACCTTGAAAATGTATAAACCCTCCGCCCACTCTCAGCGCATATTGAACGGGTGTTCAGCACATCAAAAGCAGTGCTGAGAGATAAACGATCTTGTCTATCACTATCAGGTATGGGATAAAAACTTTCAAAAACTGTTTTTGAAAAATTAATACGTTATTAAATTTATTAGAATAATCATAATATTATAATTATTATTAATTAGTTATAGAAAATTTGAATTGAAATTTAAAAGGAAAACAATTTCTGCTATCGCTTTTGACGGCTTCAGTAATTTTTTAAAAAAAGGGAAATGTTTTATCTTTTAACATTTTTCTATCTATCTCTTGGGCAGTTGCGTCATTAAAATATGGAGGGGGGGGGGTCTAAAGGGTTCTGCTATTGGGGTAGCGTTATATTACATCTCTGGGTTAATATATTTTTTTTTAAATTAATTATTAAGTTCCATATTCTTATAAGTTAAAAAGTTTTTTCTTTGGGATTATAAAGGAATTATTTTCTAACAAATTTTCTTTAAATATATAAATATTATGTTTTTTGAAGATGATATATTTTTGTTTAAAAACACAATATCATGTTTTTTCCATATTAATAATATAAAAAAGATTTATAAAATCGATAGCCTGCCTTTCCCTTCTCCTTTTATACTGTTTTTTTGATTTTTATCTTTGAAAATTATTCCATAGTATTTTTTTTGTTAAATAATTTATTATATATTATTATATAGCAATTATTCTCTTCTTTTAAATGAAACAAGACAAGATCTTAGATTCATTGGTCATCTTTTTTTTATAATAAAGTTATAATATTTTTAACAAAATTGTGATTTATAAGCAACAAAATAAATAAATTCTAATATAATTTATAATTTAATCCATCAATATAACAATTATAAGGAAAGTAACTAATAAACCAACTTATAAATCATAGAGTTCTCGTGTATGTGTGTGTACAGTGTATGGCGTTATATATAAATAGAAGTAATAGGTCTAAAATATGGGTATTGAAGAGCGAAGGAGGGGGGGGTAAGGAATTATGTAGATGCTATTGAAGTCAGTAGGAGGTCATTTTGATTTTAAGAGGGTGGGGATGGGGGTAAAACTTTAGAAGGGAGTAAAATATTTGCTAAGGGGGGTATAAAAGACCCTGCTAAGATGTCAAGAAATCATCACCAAAATGGATAAATATCTCATTATAATATTCGATTATATAATTATCATACAAATTTAATTGAGGCATCGTTTATTATGATAAATTTCCTAATTATGTTGTATGAGAGATGCCTTAAACTCACATTTAACAAGTTGAGGAGGCCCAGGCCAATAGCCACAAATTATGGGTAGGGGCCTATAAGAATTGATTTTTCCTATGAAGGGGGGCGGGGCTCAAGGAAGAATTTCTATGTACAGCCTCTATCATGGTTTGTATATATAAAAAAATTATTAAGATACCTTGTGTTTTGCTAAGTTGCCAAATAATATGTATAAATCTACAGTTAATTAAATTTGATATAACAACTAATTAAGGAATCGGGAAAGTAAGTATATATAATGTATCCTGAAATATTTCTTTCATTTCTGCTAACGAATATAATCTAATAAAGTTAAAGATAGACTATACTATATCAATGTCCAGTGCGTTAATAACTTTAGAGGGCTCAAGGATTATAAATAATCTTTTATTATTTAAAAAAATCAGCTATCCAGTTTAACAAAATCATTAATATATATGTCTTTTAATTCCAAAATGGACCCCTTTAATGTGACCGGGGCCTGAGATGAACATTTATATGCAATACACAAAAAATTGCCCATTATGGGTAAAAATACAAAATTGGAGTTTGATCATTTAAAATCTCATGAAATGAATTATTATTTTTATAAAGAATCTACCATCCGGTCTTTTCAGATCTGATGGGAAACGGCCTGACGGTATTTCGCAAATTCTTTGGAAGCGCGGTCAATTCCTGGTCTGGGACTATTCTTGTATTGATCCACTCGCTCCATCAAATCAAACAGTCAATATACTCGAGAAAAAGGAGACACTCAAAATAGCGAAATATTCCGAAATCTCTCAAGAATATATTTTCATCCCCATTATTTCCACTACCCTTACTACTTTTGGGAAATATGCCTTATCCTTTTTCAAGGAACTCGGCTCCCACATTCGTCAACTAACCGGTGAACCCCGCGAGGGCTTCTTCTTAAGGCAAAGGCTCTCCATCGCAATACACAAGGCTAATTATATTAGCTTCATAAGCAGTCTCTCCCCAAAAGATTATCCTTCCTAACCTCAATATATTTTTTTTAACACCGTCACAAACATATCCTCCAATACTATATTTATTTATTTTTTTAAAATGTTTTTTTTATATGTATATAAATATATATACAAATATTAATTATATTGTATTAGATATATTTTGTTTTATTATACCTAATATAGTAATTCCAATTGGGATTATTTATTGTTAAATTTCTTCTTTTTTTAAAAAAATGGAACGAATATTATTTAATGTGGCGATTTTCTTTCTTTATCATAAATATTATACATAATATAGATCATTGTTAAAAACTATTTTTTTAAAGTAACTAGATATAGTTACAATTACATCTTTAAGAAATTAACTAGTTAAATCATATCTCCTGCCTCCATTGAAATATTCATCAAAATAGATCATATTGATCCATAAATTATTTTATATTTTAAAATTTTCTTTAAAAATTATACAGCCCACATAAAAAAAAATTTATAAGCCGCCTATGAGTTACATCGAAAGTTACTTATTAAATTTTTTTGTAACACAGCAATTTTAATGTAATTTTTTTATTATATAAAATATTTTTGCGCCATACAAATTTTAATTAAAGTAATATAAATGTAATAAAACTTAAATAAAGAAATAACTGAATTGAAAAATATGTATTTGCACTAAGAAAATATATATTATAGTATAATTACAGAAAGATTTGGGCTTAATAAACTAATTTCAAAGTTAATGTCTAAAAAGGTTTGCTAAATTTTCTTCAAAAATAGGTTTCCTTGGCAACCTTCTACAGTGCTTTGTAATATTTAATGAACGTGCATTTTAAATTTAGAAAATCATCATATAAAGATAAGATGATATTATATAAATATTTAACAAATTTTACATCTCTAAATGTAACCAGTTATTTTTGTCGTTACATCCCAAAAAAAATATAATTAGTTTTACTTACTACTAGTTTAGTAGAATAACTTTTTTATGATAAGTCTCTGCCATGCCAAAGTAAAGTGTCATCCCCGCATAAATATAATTAATAAAATATTCTTTTCTTTTCATTCTCTTTGTTTCTTTCTTAAATACCGAAATTGTTAGATATATATTTTTTTTAAACCTTTGATTTCAACCATGACTGAAATTACGAATATGTGAATGATTAGAAGCACGCGGCTCCTAGAATAGTCGAAGCGTGTAGCACCTAACATCGTTTATATATATTTCTAGATAACAAGAGTGGATTATTTTATAAGAAAAACTGATATCTAGTTATCATTTTTATTTTAAGATGAATTGCTATAAATATATTTTGTCTGTCAAAATAGGAAGTTATTTTTTTTTACAAATATTATTGTTTTTCCAGGCGAATAGGCTACTTTTTTATATTCAATATTTTGTAAAGGATAGAGAGAGGGGTTTGTTTTTTTAACATCTAGAGTAGTTTATTACCAAGGAATATCAAATTAATCATCACAATTATTATATTTAAGCTTTCTCTTTTTTTAAAAGGTTGAATGATTAGCTAATTGGGCTTAGCTTAACACTCGAGGGAAAAGTTTTAATTTTAAAAAGTTTATTTTATTTTTTAAATAAATCGTTCCACAAATTACTTAATAATTTTTTAATATTTTTTTTTACTTTGTTTTTTTTATTATTATTTTTATATTATTTTATAAGTAATACAAAACCAATAATTCTCTTACTAAGAAAAATTTATTATTTTAATATAATTTTAATAAAAAATATGTAAAATTTATAAAATTGATCTATATTTTGTTAAATTTTAATTTATATAATTATTAATATTTATTTTCATTTAGTAAACCCAAACTGATAATAAAATAATTATTACATAATAAAGAAAAGAAAATATGAAATATATATATAAAATATAATTATGTCTTTAAGTTTAGATATTTAGCGCACCAAAAAAAAAATTCACATCAATAGTAAAAAAAATGACGTTTTGTTTTATCAAATAAATATTTTAATTTATAATAACTAATTATAGAATAATTTATAAAATATATATTATTTTTTTAAAAATTGATTAAATTTTATACTTTTTTAAACGAAGAGAAATGTGGTTTTTAAACAAAAGACTCAAAAGATAAAAAATATATATTAAAAAATCACTCAAATCACGTCCACAAATAACGAATTTGTAAAGCGATTCGCGAAGAATCTTTCTTTATTTTATTAAAAACTTATTATTTCTGATTTGAAAAAAAAAAATACGGCATCGACCCCTTCTTGAAATTTATTTCGAAACATTTCCGTTTTTATTTTATTTTTTAACGAATTTTGGATTAGGAGAAGAATTTAATTAATTTTTTTTTGTCACAAGAATATTCTTTTAACGGTTGAATTAATTAATTTTTTTTTAAATATAAAAACATGTAAAAATTGTTTGGCAAAATGATAAGGTACAAAAAATTATTCTCTTTCTTCTTTAAGTAATAATGTATTATTATAACATATTTTTCAATCTTTGTAATAAAAAATAATATTCTTCTAATATTACTATCTTTAATCAATTATAATATGATGAGATGAGAATGCGGAGTGCATAGACACATCAAAAAGAAGATTTGTGAAAAAAAAGAGTTTAAAATCTTTAATTTTCGGTGCACAACGTCCATTAGGCTGTATTTGGTCATATACCGTATTTGGGATGCATTTCCTCCTAAACTTTTTATACTACTTTCTCTAACTAAAAAAACACATATTTACTTATTATAAAAAAAACAGACTTTTAAGTTGAATCCCGTCGAAAAACTGTCACGACTTGTGATCGAACCAGCGGGGTGTAGTTTCTCAATCTAGACACCTAACACAATTTATAAAAAAAATATGGATATAAGGATATTTTACAGCGTTATCTAATATTTTAATAAAAACAACATAAAATTAAACCAATAAAGTCTGACGCAAGAATATGACTACCCAACTGTTGTAAATTAAGATTGATTTTGAGTGCACTAGAATTATTATATAACCTTCGTCGTATAAATAAATAAAAATTTAATTATTTAATAATTTGTTGAACTACCTTTCATCTCATCTAATATAATCACCTTTTTTTTTATCTTCCGGTCAACTTATATAATAATAATTATATTATACAAAAAGATATATCTCTAAATTATAATTATTATAATCCTTTAAATTCTAATCGCTTTTAAATAAATATATTATATTATATTTTTTAGAAAACTCTCATTTTAAATATAATAATCTTTAAAAAAATGTATCCTACAGTACAGGAAAGAGACTTCATTTTGATTTCTATAATTAATTGAGAGAAGTTAGGTATTATGATATTCAGTGATATTTTTTTTAAAAATAAATTTGTGAGATTTTCCTCTTTTTTTGAATTATCAAACAACAATGGATAACCAATTATGGCCAGGTGTTTTTCTTTGTATTATATAATATACTAAATATTAGCATTAAAGTCGATATTGTATTTGTATTCATCTTATTGATCGTTTTATTTTCATTAAAATGGATATAATATATGGATTTATTTAATCTTAAAAATCGTTTTAAATAGACGGAGGTTTTTTAAAAAATTTATTAAATTTATTTTATATTACATAATTATCACTGGTTTACAAAATGATATTATTATACCATGAAGAACCAAGGAGTGGTGATGACCTAGAATGGTCATTTTATAATATAACTTATATCTAAATTTAATTTTAGTGTATAAATTATTACATAATTATTTTTACATTAATAAATTAGTATCGTTTACGAGATAACAAATTAGTCTATTTTTAACTAATAAAAAATAACATCTAATTATAATTTCCATCTCATTAAAGTGGTCATTTAATGATTTTCCAAAATTTACCTAAATGAACCTCCTAAGTAAAGACCGGGTTAACTTTATATCGAGGCGTATGCGATATCAAATTTACTAATCATATAATCGATCGCTTAATTGGATATCGCGAATTTATTGGTTTCGTTGCTTTTATATAATCTGATCTAATATTCATCTATGGTCATTGGACCCTCTATTATCGTAAAATTTTAATTTATATAATAATTGAGCAAAAAAAAATATTATATCAATTCTTTCCATACTTCAAGAGTATAATTAATATTTATTATAAAAAAAATGATTTTGTGAATGTTTTTTGATATAAAATAGGTCATATTTAGTTGTGGAAAATATGGAATTTATGAAAAATATTTAAAGGTATTATATTACATTTATAAAATAAAAAATTTAACACTTTAAACTTCACGTCTCTTAAAAATGCTTTTACAGAATTCGAAGCCCAATATAGTCCTTCCATAAATTTAATTTGGAAGAAGAAAAAAAATATCGTCCATATTAATATGCTGGATATGTTAGTTAAATATTTTATAATATTTTTTTTGATGCAAATGAAGTATAATATATTGTAATATTATCTATATAATAATAATATGTAAAAGGGGATGGGTTAAGTTAAGGGTAAGAAGTATATTAGAATCACTTTTGACATTTTAGATTTTTCGCAACAATTTTCATATAAATTTCGAGGATAACCGACAAAAATTCTCCCTGATATAAAGGAGTCCGCAGTATTTTATTGTCCCATAACTCATTGATATAAAATGATTTGAAAAAAATTTTTAACCAAATAATTTGAATATCGAATAAAGGAAGAAAAAAATGGGTTTTTCATATATATCGGAATTGCAGCTAAGTGACATAAACCCCTAGTCGGTTAATCCTAGCCCCTACTAGAGATCATGAGAAATAGGGGAATGGAATTAAGTTTATGGAAATGGGAACCTCACGCTCAGATTTTAATTTGAAAATTATCATCTCACTGTTTTAGTTGAAAAGTTTAACTCACGTCTCAAGGCTTGGTAAAAATTTCCGGCATTTGACTCTACAACTATGTATTTCGTAAATTTGAGATTGGATGGGTTTGATGTTTTTATACTTTAAGAGATAGCGTTTTTTAAAAAAAATTTTTTATATAAACGGCTTGAATTTTAAAAACAGTTTACCCAATATTTTAGCCATAATATATCAGGTAAGTCTGGAAATTTTGGTCATAGATTGCAAAAAGGTTAGGGCATCTATTAACGAAATCTGGAGGCTTGCATAATATTATTTTGGCAAAAATCTTAATTTAACTGCGAAATCGAGCTGTTTAAAACAACACTATTTTATGAGCCGGGGTTGTTTAAGATCTCCAGAGAGTGACTGGTTTACAAAACTTTTTTTAAAAAAAATAATATTTAAAATACAATTTATTGAATGTCCGTCAACTCAAACTGTGATGCTGTATATGTTTGTTTATAAAGGCGACTCGTAAAATAAAAGAAAATCAAAACGTGATTTCTATCGTGTTATGATATTATTTGGTTAGAATATGTAACTCCTCCTTACTCCACTACCTATAAAGTGTAAATTTTTATAAATAACATATAACAATTTACAATCGGATTATATTAATTTAATTATTTAAACAAACATTTTTAAAAAATTTGTAATGTAAATGTATATAATTTAATATTTATTATCCCTTAAAAAAAACTTAATTTTATTTTCCCTCCTAACTTCTTCCCACCTTCTCAATGGAATCTTATAAGTTGCTTAATGAATGGGTTATGGTTATGTAAGTAAAATTTACAAAAAAAAACTTAATTGCATAGTTATTCATCTGTCTTTTTTAAAAATATATATATAAATTAACGTTATTCATGAGTATTGATGAATAGTGTTTCTTATTTAATCCTTATCCTATACATATATATATATATCATTCACTATTTAATTTTAAGTTACACACAGTATTATTATACTTCAATATTAACTTACATAAAACAGTAAATAACTAGACTTGAGTGTTTGTTTATTATATAAATAATAATTTAATAATAATCATCTTTTTTTTAAATAAAAATGTTTCATTGTTGATATGTCCCTTTTTTCAAAATCAAAAATTTACAACCTATAAATTTATGTTTTATATATATTAAAAAAAAATCTGGACATAAATTTACCCATAAAAAATATATTATAAGCTTCTTTTTTTAAAAAGAGATATAGGGAGGGAGGCCCCTCTAAGTCGTATATAAAGTTAAGTGACAAGACATTTATCAAAAAGTTTGATAATCATTTTTAAAAAAATATTGGACAAAATTATATTTATATATACACTATGTTTTTTTTTCTTTAAGTGTCTGGAAATTGTATTTCTTCTATATTACGGTTTCTTACACTTGTGAAGTGCATCGAAATTTAAAAGTTGATTAAATATTCTTAAAAAAATAATTAGATGAATAATAAATACTACAATTTAATCAGGTTGCGCTTAAGCTAGACTTTTTTTTTAC